GGGGGGGGGGGGGGGGAGAGGGATCGGTTTTGCCCCCAGGGCCCCCCCCCCCCCCCCCCTTCAAATACTCCCGGATCCGCCCCTGGTACATAGGCTGTGATTTTGCAAAACATAGCATCCATTGTGATGAATGAGACAGGTGATAATATCAGTTATATGATCTCAAATATACACAAAGCATGCATTCAAGTTTTTATTCTCAATTGTTTTTGATACATTGTATCTATATGGTCACATTAATCAGGGTGTACATTTTCGTTGACATACCTTTTGACAATCGTCACAGTAATGGCTGACCCATTCCATGCAACACACAGCTTGCCCAAATTCAACCAAATTTGCTGCAACAAAGGCAGCTGCTATGAATATTTTAGCATCGCCCATTTTCTGAAACAATTTAACACAATAATACCAAATAATATACGAACGAAACACATCGTTATGAGAAATCAATGCTGCTTGTTCACTGCAATACACCTACCTGCAAATACTTTACCAATGAAGTTATTAACAAATGTATTCATGAGATGTCAAAATTGTACAAACTTTGTGTACAGTCTATTTATATATGTACCTCGTCAGTCGAACTCCCCTGTATCCAAGAGCAAGCCATGATTTCTATATGCTATAAATACCAGCAAGGATCAATCAAAGTTTCTAGAAACTCAGGGTATAGTCAGCTTTATGATGGTAATCCATTCTCATCGAAATCTATAAGCTGTGGTAGTGAATTCACGTATAAAAGTATTTTTAACAAAACATTCAATTTGAAGGTGCTATTAAGAGTAATTCTTGCAAGAAGGATTGTGCGTATATCCATCAACTTTTTTTTAGCGGCAACTAACCTCATGCTGCTATCAGGTAAACGGTGCTCTACTTGTTAAGCTCCCTTTACACTGGACGGCGTCCTTTCTGCGTCCAGAAATACGGCCGTGTTTGATAGTAAAAGTTACATCCCAGTGCACCACAAACTTTCATAATCCCATTCACAACAAGAAAGAAGGAAACAAAGAATATTGGTTGTTCGATATTTGGTCAAACAAGGGCGCTTTCATTATATAACCCCACTATTCTAATAAATTTAACAAAGTAACAAATTGTTGCCTGTTAAAAATGCCTTAAGGGATAAAATTTTTATATTAAATATTCAATACAAGTCATGAGTCAGAAAAAGTGTTTATTTACAAACAATTTTGCACAAATTTGGCCGATCATTGAGCATTCATTCTGCAACCGAAGCTATGCTTGTGCCTCCTTTCTACGACCGATACGATGCCAGTTTTTGGTCGCACAAAGGACACAGAAAGGACACCGTCCAGAGAAAGTGGCAATATAATTAGGAACTACTGATTAATAGTCTCAAATACGTGCCCTCGCTGGGCCCTAGGACGAAACAGCTGTAGGCCGGAATAAAATCATGGAAAAATTAATAATGCAATTTTGATGTTTTTTTATGTATCATAAACTTAAATCGCTGTGTTTTATCATTTTCCCTTTCATTAATTCAACAAATCGAATTACAATGTGCGTTTCAATGCAAAAAAAGAAGCAGACCTTGGATCACTTCTTTTGGACTACCGATGTTAAACATAAATTGTACCCGTATGGCGTGGTTATAGAAGCAGCGACAATACGAACATAGATTAAGAATTTTCACTCGTCGTGAGTCGCAAGGAGATCAGAACGAGGCCAAAGAGGAGGCAGCATCCGTAAGAGTAGGGGCCTACTGCAAGAACTTGTTATAAACTCTATATATCGGTAAAGAATATAAGATCTATACAAACATAATAGCCGTTTCCTGCAAATGAAGGCCGTTTAGCAAACTTGGACTTTGTCAAAAAGCAGGTTCTATACACTTTATAAGCTTTTTTAGGTATGGCGGTAGATCATTCGGTAGATCATAGCGTCGGCTTTTTTCAGTTGCATTTAGCAAAAAGGGAGAGTAAAACCCTTGTTAATTACATTTCTACGTGACAGGTTTCAAAATTAACCTGTCAAAAGGCAGTTTCTATACACTTTTTAAGTTTTATTTTAGGTATGGCGGTAGATCATCCCATATATCAATGGTAGCGTCGGTTTCTTTTTTCAGTTGCATTTAGCAAAAAGGGAAATAAAACACTTGTTAATTACATTTGTACGTGGCTTACATACTGTATGTCTAAAATTAATATCACACTTCGTCACTCCATTTGCTTGGTTTGTGAAAATGGAATTTGGCCCCACATTCAGTAATCTCTGTGTAATTCCCACGGCATTCCTTTCCTGGCAAAAATTTAAAAAGTAACATACATGTTTTGTGGATGCGTTATCCAATTATTGTGGATGCGTTATCCATCAATAATTGGTTGAATATTTATTATAGAGTAATAATCCTAATTTCAGTACTTTTTCATTTTTAGCATGCAAATTTTTTTATTTTACCAAAAATGTTTCTGAAATTTTATCATATGTATTCGAAGTATGTTTTACACAATGCCAGAAGATTTCAGAAGGATAACTTATTTAGTTTTGTAGTTAAAATAACTTTCCTAGGATGTGTGCCGTACCTTAAAACCTGCATCACGTCAGAGAGTTGCACAAGATGGCTTGCTGACTTGAAGACTTCCACCTATTTACTTTCAAAAATCACACATTCTATTGTCAAACAATTGTATTTTCTAATAGTTCAAATTCATCAACTGAATCAGGATTCACATTAAAATTTTGCTTTTCACTGAAAGGACTTATGGCATAAATCATATGCAAAAATACACACATTGTCATGAGCAAATTACAATTTCGTGAATAATATTGCACCGTAAAAATACAAGTAAACATGTAAACATGTGGCATTTGGACTTATACGCAAACAGGAAAAGACATGTTGATGCAGCACACAAGTAAACAAATGCCTTTTGTACTTATACACACAAGCAGGAAAAGACTTGATGATGCACTACAACTAAATACGTGACATTTGTATTGTACACATGTACCTGTAGATGCAGCACACAAGTAAACATATAGCCTGGCTTGCCACGAATACGGAGGCTGCGGTCAGGGTCATTTCGATCAGCAACTCCCCACTCCAATCTGTATCGAAGTCTGCTTGGGGTTACTGCCGTTAGTATCATGAACGTTTTCTATTAATCAAGCTTCACGTAAGAATCTGCTCTACGACATCTCATACTAGCAAGAGGCACATATAATTGCTGTCGTTGGAGTCACTGCTGCATGACGTATCAAAATCTATTTAGGGCTCTTCCCCCCAAGTCCGTATTTTTTAAACTGTTCTAGAACATTTCTCACCCCAAGACTTCTATGTTGACTTCTCGCCGCCATCTTGATTTCTAAGCGTCTTGACAAGGGTCCAAATAAATCCTTTTTTAATTGTCTTATTCTCGATCGTCACACGCCTTTCGTCTGACGGAAGTACGAATTGCTACAAACGATCGGGGACAGTACGTGATTCTACAGTACGTGTATGTAAACACAACAACCGAGTATTTGCGGTTGCGGCACTTTGGAGTTTTTTTTTAAAAAAACCTACTGCATATGTGCGGTTCCCTACACCTTGAGGGTTAATTTCCCGTACAAAAGTGTTGAAAAAAATAATTCAAATAATTATTGAATGGTTTCAAGTAAAACGAATAAGTGAAAAAGTCAAGACAATTACACACATGTATGTCTTATTATCTTCTTTATTTTTGCTGTGTGTGGTAAATTGGTTGCAATATTCTTTGAAATTGGGCTACATAAGCATAATATTGAAAGGTTTTCAACATACTTCAAAGTTTAAAAAATATGATTCCATAAAGTAATTAAGTACCTCTATTTTTATTAGAATATCAATTTCTCAAAGTAGTGACAACTATTTATGTTGACCAACAGTGAATTGCAATACTCTGCATAATCCCCATTATGAAATAAAACAACACGAAACATAGTAATGATAAATATTAGTTGTTTGTTTGAATACACGGTCCATAATACCTTAAAACCTTGAAAATATTTTGATTGGTTTGATTAACTATGGATGACCAAACTGTGAAAATGTAAGTGCCACAGCAGGAACTGGGATTGCGGTAGGAGTGTTATATGCCACTCAGCTGGAAGATTTGCAGCGCTCCAGGTAATTTATTAGGTGTTATGATTGAAGTGACGCATGTCCATTCTGTTTTATTGCAGTAGTATTATTGTGATACTCTCAGAACAGAAGATAATAAGAATCGCATAAGACATGAAAACATTGAAACAAACAAAACCAAGTAAATATGAAGTCAATATTACGTGACGATAACTTCTCGCGCTCGAACAGACAAAAAACATCAGTAGTACATTTGATAAGTAGGATGGCAAGCAACGACTGTTTGATGTGTTAACATCAAAGACGACACAGTTTTCAATAAGCCACGACTGTCATCTACATAGGCCTGTTCATGAAATCTATCCAGCTACTGCGGATGATGTTGATGACGATGAACAAGGCAGTCCAAAACAAACGAGAAAATAGTCTACTAAGGATCCCTTCCCCACTCCACAAACATAGCACTTCGGGGTGCAGAATCGTCGTTATTTACAAAATATTTTAATTTCATAAGTTTTAACCTAAAATTAAAATCGTTGACAATGCCAATAATTTGTTTGGACAGCAAGTGGCGTTTAAAATATCGATTTTCTTCTCTTCGGGGAGCCCTATTCTCAAATCTATTCTAGCAAAAAAGTGTATATATGTCGAGATTTGAAATTGGATTTAAGCAAGTTTATGGAAAGCAAAATTGTTTTAGTTATTTCGAAAATCTTCAAAAGTAATAAATATCAACTATACCATGACGAAAAGTAGTTTGCCCGGCATAAAAAGAACCATAAAACGATAATTTGTAGAAGCCCTTAGTGTCTACACATCAAAACTGGCTGCTTAATCTTAGTTTGAGACGTTTGCTGTGATCGCTAATTACATCCCCCCCCCCCGAACACCGCACCACAGATCCGATTAACTGGTAGGCTAGGAGATAAATCGACGCTCTTTGGAAAATCACAGTGACATAACCAAATTAAGGTTCCAAATTTGAAATAACCTCAAAATTTCTTGTCTTAGGTAAAATCATCTCTACATACTTGTGCAAACAATGCATATAGGTTCTATACTATACTGAATACTGGTACGTATCATTGTGAAGGGGTTGTAGATAATATGACACGTAAGTGTTGCTGATTGGCTGCCAGTGCACTCTCACCAGCTGCATATGATACACAAGCTTTATTTCCATATAATCACATTACACTGAAATCAACGAGAGGGCCACTGGTGAGTCATTTACATGCGAATTAATAGCCTACTTTGCAATCACGGGTAGATATTTACAGGAGATTGCAAGAATTATTTCTAAATATTCCGATGAACAATGAAATTGACGCTTTTCTTTCTGATTTCACTTATTACTTCATTTACATTGTATCTGTTTCTATAATTCAGGAGATGACTTTTACGACTGTGCTAGTTTTTAGCATAGCTTGTCTGACAACTACTACTGTCAATGAAATCTACGCAGATTGCGATGCAAATTCGCGATATGACGAGGAGGAAGAATATGCGGATGCAAAAGCTGTTTTTGATGGGGTTGATTTAAACAGGTTAGCAGAAATACATAAATTTTACTGGCATTAAACCTAATAACCTTGCATCTGGATAGTGTTGCCAATTTTTGTAAAAACCTTTTACAGCGCATAGCGTAATAATAATAAACTGAGATTAATTATATACTTGAATATACTCAAATAGAAAATGATTAAATAGCATGTCACTCATGATTTTGAGTATTGAATCTCTAGCACATGTATATCTGAGTAGCTTTTTTCATTTCATAACATGAAATATGTTTATCAAAGAATAATTGTATCATAATATGTTTCAGGGATAATCGTATTACAAAAGACGAGTTCTTGGAGGCAATAAAAGAAAGAGGCATAGACCTTGCACAGATAGATGTTGATGGTGAATTTGACAAAATGGATGAAAACAAAGATGGAGTAGTTGAACCCGGTGAATTTGACCACGATTTGCAGTAAGAAACGCTATTTGCAATGAAACCAATGGTTACTGTTGTAGTATGGACAGTCATTCTTACTAGGTATTTCAAAGTCTCTCAGACACCAACTGATCTGTATTATAAATAAGGTGGTTCTAAGAAGCAAAAATTCTACCTTTTTTATTCCCGAATCTGATATGACCACCACACTATCTGTCAAATTTTACGAATATATGGAATAAATGGACGTGTAAAAACCATATGGCATAGTTGTCTCTATGGTAGATGTGCCAAACATTTTATTAAGTTCGAACTGCACATGCATGGGTCTTTTTTAAAATATCCAAAAATCAAACCAATTGTGTAAAGGTAATACAGCTTTTACCTTAAAACAAAACCTGGTTGAATATTATAAAAATATCTATAAACAGATTTATATACAGTCAATATTTAATCGTCAGTGTCAGTTTTAGATGACGTTGTATTTTTGCACCGCCATGTACGCGGACACTAATTCTCTTGGCGACTTGATTTTGTGGAACTCTATATAAAACAGAATCAACGAGTTTAAGAATTGTTTCCACCCTGTTTTCACTTGGTTTTACGCTATCACTACAGACAACATACATGACGGTTTTTGACGAAGGCTTGCTTTTGTAAAAAAATCAAAGACAAAGAGATGAAAAAGCAAGCAAATTTAATGCCATATATATGCGGGATATGAACTTCAAATAATCCGTATTGATATGTGACATCGTCAGTGTCAGTTTATAATATGGCTGAATTTATTTATCCTGCTAGAATTAAGAATTGTCGACAAATTCCCATTAATGTGGTTGCATTTAGGGGGGTCAGAGGCCCAATCCCTTCCACTGCAATCTTCTAAAAAACATTGAATTCAATCCAGTCTAATCCTAAAAGAAATTTAGAAATGAGACCATGCATTCACCGCTGAACCAAGGCGCACCTACTGCTTATGACTTTCAATCCCGAATCGGGGGAAAGGGAGGCAGGGTGGAGAGACGCAAGGGGGAGGGGGGAGGGGTGGATAGAGGCAGGGGGAGGGGGGATAGAGACGGAGGGGAAGGCATATGATTTAGTTTATAGATGGATATAGGGATATAAAACAAAATAATGTGTGGTCTACTCGGTACGATTTGGCAGACGCATTGGTGAAAAAAAGTTCATCTATTGCATAAACGGCATTCTGTTGCATGGATGGTGTACGATATCTTTTCATAGCGGTACAAACAAACCCCTGACATGAAAATATCAATGTTTTCGTATACACTACAGTCTAATTTATATCTGAGTCACTGAAACCTATTGCGCCTGTCACAAAATTTTCATTTTGTCTACTATTTTGTTGTCCATGAAGATATGTTCTACAGTGGATGGAGAAGATTTATTCTTGTGACACGGAAAGTTAAGGGTAGGAGGGGGAGGACAGAGGGAGAAATTAAGAGGCGATGTATCTATAAAGCCATGCTGCACAATCACTATGTTGGATGCAGCTCCAGAACAAATCTTCAGACATACCTTATATTAATTGTTTATATTATATGTTTCTTACATTCAAATGAACCACAATTTGAATCAATGAATGTTACGAAATTTACCTTCTTTAATATATATATCATATGTGCGTGTGTGTGTGTGGGAGGGGGGGGTGTTTCGGAACGGGAAACAGTGTTTGCAAGTGAACAGATGTTCATTAGTAGCAATCAGTATAGTTTATAAAAAATACCTTCTCTTTTGAAAAATCTAGCTACAGTACAAAGAACATGCTTAACTAATATTGTTTATAAATTAGTTTATACTTCAAATAAAAACTCATGTAAAACATTTTATTTCGTCTACTAAGCATGGCCGTATCATACAGTGCCTGTATATAGTGGTATTAAGCAAAATAACAAATAATGTGTCGTTTGCAATTTGGTTGGAACTTCTGAATTTCGGTTGACAGAATGTAACTCGGGATAGAGCTTTGGATATTACCAAGTTTAAATAAGATTTGCGATCGTTCATTTAAACAAAAAATAAGCTTTTTGTGCAATAAGTGACCTTTCTTGGGTAACTATAAAGGAAGAGCGGCATCAAATATTTGTATCATGTTAACTTAAATTTCCCTACTAACACACGACTAGTTCATAAGCTTGTCGAAGTCTTTCTCATATATAAAGTATATGTCGAAAACATGCTACAATATAGTATTAAATTAAACTTTTTTCAAAGACAAAAATTTGATCAATTTAGAGCTAACTGTTTGAAAATGAGTCTCTTTCTTTTCTTGGCTCTTTTCCACTCTTATAGAAAATAATTGGGTAACGTTTTCACATACACGTAGTTCATTTAAGATAATGTGCCTATAAGGTATAAAAACTCCCTCTGCAATGCCTTAATTCAGGTAAGGCTTTGGGGTGAGATACATATCTTCACGTGGGGAATCAGCTATGGTTAGATTGACCTGTGAGGAGTTGCCTGCCTTCAGCACTTTCACTTTGTTCTTGGACATCATCTTCGCCACAACAATCACAGTGACACAGACGATAACCAGGCCGCCAAGTGTGCCGCCAATGATCGCCCCGATGGCACCCATACTGAGGCCGTCGTTACTCTGCGTGCGCATGACGGCCGTGGCGTAGCTAGACAGTGGTGACGTGTTTCCGTTTCCGTCACGTGCTATCAGCGCGAAGGCGTATTCCACGTCATCTCCGGCGCTAGGGACTTTGATTGTGACTGTCTGCAGGCTCCCGGAGGGAAGGGGGTCAAGGTGACCAAACATGACGTCAGCTTTGGAGACAACCTTCGCCTGACTCAGGTCAGTTAAGAGAGAGGCGTTTGTCGTCTGATAGAGGGTATATGAAGCGGCTGAAATATAAACGCAAATAACCAGTAAATAACATGTAGATTCTGTAGATTCCGAAATCAAAGACCGTCTTTAAATAAAGATAAAATAACATTAACAAAGCAGGAAACTTCAAATATGCCCTACAGCAGCATAGCTAACTGATGTTTTATCAAATAGCTGAATACGGGCTTTGCATATAAGAGTCGTAACATACACAAAGAGAAAAAACAACATCACGAGCGTACAGCAAAGAAACAGATCGAGAAGGTTAAATTCAGACACCTGTTCCGTAGTCCAGGTCACCCCCGGGTGCAGTCCAAGCCAAGGTCACGGTCTGGTCAGCGTAGGAATAGCTGGCCACTTTCAGGTCAGTGACACGGGACGGAGGGTACAGGTCAGTGCCGTTCGCCCCGGTTACACGGAATGCTCCACCGGGAGTGGCACGGGTTATCCCGCTAGGCAAGGGGGAAACGACGGCAACAATTGTGGGCGCCAGACCTTAGGAGGAGAACCATTAAAAGCCATTAGTAATGCATCCGTACACACTTCTGATTTTCGGTGACTGACACGCAAATTAGCGATTTGCAGAAATCAAGTCAGATAAAATAATTATGATTTATGCCAACTGTAAAGTATCACCCCCACATGCAACGAAACTAAAAAAGGAGGATACATTAAATACCAATATATAGAAAGATTTCTCTAAATTCTATAATGTTTAGAAAATTGTACTGTTATATTTAAATAGCATTATGCAGAAACTTAAGGGATGAGTCATTGTGTTAGTTGTGAAGGTTCAAACTGCGGTTGTGTAATGCAGTAGGGCCTACGTACTTGGGTCCTTGTATGCAGCAGCGCTGGCCTTGCTTCCAGCAGTCTTCACTCCAGCTTTCCCGTCCTCCATGCTGACTTTTGCACTCACGCCATACCTGCCATTGCCGTTAAAGTTGGTGAAATAGGCTGAATAAACGCCATCGTCCTTCTGGTTGTCCGCACCTAATCCGTGTATGAAACATATGCACTTAATTTCATGAAAATCAAATGCTTAATAAATATGACTTTCTTAATACAAAGAATTCCGAATTACTTTCGTTTCCAATCCAATCAGACAAAGCAGGAAGTAGACAATCTTGTGGAAATTATAATGAAAGACGACCAACAGAATGTGTTACTCCTCATTAATGTGAGAAATGTACCCTGATAGTGAACGATAACATATACATCTATCTTGGAGACAAACAGCTGTGTCTGGCCATTTTAAATAACGAGATAGAAGCATTTGCTTACCGGCACCATTGTCTTTAAGCTCCAGCTCTAACGGATCTCCTTGCGGTCTGTCAACCGTGGCAACGACCTTAGCATTAACTATCGGAGCGTATCCCTTGGAAACCTCGGCATAAACGACCGCCCTCGCTTTCTGCACGTCCACGTTGGTGGCGCTCATCCACGCGCGCACTCTGATTGGCTGAGAGTTCTCGCGTGAACGGGATTTGACGTCAACTTGCACGGTCTGTTTGGTTGTGGCGGTGTTGGTTATGGTGTACTTCCACAGTCCAACCTATACGTAAGACATACAATGTGAAAGATCTGCATCATATTTAACAAAACTGCAAAACTACATTTAATTTGTCTTGTGACACTCACCTCTCCCTCCTGACACTATGGGAATCTCGTACCCTTCAACAAAGGATCCCGCATAGCAGGAATATACAACTGTATGTGCATACCTTTACGTCAATTACATGCAATGTTATTACCTATTACATGTGTATTGTAACACAATGCGTTTCATTTTGTCTGTGAACAAACCAATGAAAACCCTGGTACCTGTATCTACATATGTTTAATGCAGATCACATTGTCCACAATGTAAAAACGGTTCAAGAATGGTGCCATGAGCATCTATCAAAATGAACTGACCTGTGCAGAGGGAATGGACACACGGACGATACGGACTGGCTCATCGTGTTCGTACTGGGGACTGCCGACTGTGTAAGTCTTACCACTTGGGTCGCGTAAAACAACCTGAAAAATAAGCCGCGTTCACGAAAATGGTGTTCTTTCCATTGAATATGTTATGTTTTTGCATCGGAATGTCTTTTGTTCGAATACCTCGTGCTCACTGCATCTACTACAATCAGAATTCAACAACTTCCACCTAATGAATCGCTGTGAGACCTTTATCCGTTCGCTCTAATCACACAAAATCACCCGTGAAAAATAGCAAAACATTTATCATTATACATGTGTGTATATTAATTTCACTTTGTGAGTACTTACAGATATCCCTCCGTACTCTAAGTACGTGAAGATGAACTCCGTGTTCTTACCAATAGTCTCATCAATAAAGACGGATTTGTCATGTGTGTCGTCTTTTCGAGGCAGATCGACAGTATAAGCGTTCACCTAATGGGTAACAAAAAAATCAATATTAATGCAAAGGAGATTCTTGCGACCTAGATAAGCCAAGTCCACGATCCAAAATACATGTATAAAATTTACTGTACGCTTGTGTTTGAGGCATTTTGGCTTATGTCCACAGAAAGGCATTTGATACATCAATTTTCAACATTATGACGGCCTAAAATCCGTGTGGCGTTTTCCACTCATACGTTTAGCTCTGCACATGTACCTGTAGTTCTGCAGCCGCACTTTTTCAATGTAGAAAGTCCTTATACCCCCTTTACACTGGACGGCGTCCTTTCTGCGTCCTCTCTGCGACCATGAAATTTGGCATCGCTGTGGTCTTAATAATGAAGCACGAGCACTGATTTTGTATCAGAAGAATGCTTAATGATCGGCCAGTTGTCGGCACGTAAAATATTATAATTTTTAAACTCTCAAATGGGGCCGTGCTGCTGGACGCAGAAAGGACGCCGTCCAGTGTAAAGGGGCCCTTACCTGAACACTCGGCTCAGTGGAATCTTCCAAGGCCAACTCCTCGCCAAGACGGTCTAATGCTGATGCCAGACCAGTAGATCCTTTGGCTTCCGAGTCGTAAAAAGACATTCCGCCTACAGAAAATGAGATTCCATTTACCAGTGCGAAATAACATATTTCATATTAATAGAATATCTTTTACAATCCCATATGCTACCAGTATTTTAGTAGAATTCTAAATTTTTAATAGATAGAATAATTGTCAATGAGACATTATGGTGGACACTCCCTCAATTGTAAAAAATCATATTTGAGAGCCAATGTAAAAAGCCGTAATCAATAATTCTTCTTAAAAAAAGTATTCCACTTGTAATATCCGTAACTCAGAATTTGTAGAAACTTGACATTTGTGTAATGTATGAATGTATGTTCCTACAGGTATATCAAGAGTAATATATTAACAAAAAATAAGCAATATGCAATGTGTACGGAAATGTGTGGTTACCTGTTCTCTTCCCGACCTCTTCCAGAATGTCATCTGCCTGTGCGCCAAAGGCGATTGTGTTTACGGTCACTCCTGCCGTCTCCAGAGTTCGGTTGGCGAAAAGTTCCCAGGTATAGGGCTCGACATTCTGCTGGCCGTCTGTGATCAGAATAATAATAGAGCCCTCTGGAGATATGCCGTCCTTGCCAAGTGACTGAAATAAAAAAGCGGTTCATATCTCATAAAATTTAACTTTTTTTTCTCACTTATTATTACAGAATTTGACACACCAAAAACTATGTTTCAGTATATCTCTGACCAAAATACATGTATCTTGAATAAAAAAGCAACTCATACATTAACAAATGTCTTTAACGTAATGGCACAAATAAAGAAAGTTAACAACTCACGTCTATGGCTTGCAGTAAGCCTTTTCCAATCGCGGTATTGCCTCCTTCCTTTGTCAGAGCCGCATTAAGGCGATTAGACATCTGCTTGGCGTCTGTTTTACTCTCAATTATGGTTAGGTTCTCAAGGATTGTTGCGTTGTCGTGGAAACCAATGACACCAATTTCTGTCCCCACTGGTACATTGTCCCGGATGAAGATGCTGGCAGCCTGAGTCATTTTCCTCAGTCTGTTTTGCTGGAGGAACAATTATGTTATTAATACGATTTGGTCGCTGCATTTGTAAGGTCTTTATGTTATGGAATGTTTTCGAAGATAACAATTTTTCGTTTGACTTGTTAGATTTTGACATGTCCATTAAGATAATCCGAAGACCAAGAAAATGAAGAGCGGCACAAGTCAAAATACAAACATTCAATCAATACCAACGTTACTAACTACATATTCCATGTACTACAGTATGTGCTCGCAAGGCATATCTAAGGACGATGCTTATACCTTGAAAGCACTTGAACTGAAAGCAGCATTATATTAGCAAAAATTACCACTAAAATCGAATTGTCCTCTGCGCTCAACCATATTTTCTCAAACCTACAAAATAACGTATTGGAATGTTAATATTAGATCCCTGTGGTCGTAAATATTTATGCAAAATTATGTATTGACTTTTGAACTCACCTTCCTCATACTCCAGGACATGTCCAGAACCATGACGACCCGCTTGCCCTTAATGACCTTGTTGTCCACTGCGCGTCTTACTGGACGCTTGTATACCAACCTGAACTTGGGGGAAGTGTCGGAGATATCTCGTGCAGGATTGTTGGAGCCTGGATCAAACAGTAAATGGGGTAGAAACATCAGATCTCGCGTATCTCATAAAAGTATGAATTAATATTTACTACTTATTTATCAAATTATTGTCAGAGTAATGGGAATCGTTTGTGATCATGAATAACTTTCTGACTACTCGAGCAAGGCCTTATTGACCAAATGCACTGCGTATGTCTATGGCTGCTAAAAAAGGTCTTTCAAAAATACACTACTGGGTTGACTTTTCGATTCTTGCTGGCGCCTATAACAGTCACTGTAACGAGAAATAGAAATTTACCAGTGAAATCCTCGTGCTGTTTGATGACGTCCCATGTTCCCGCGTTATTACAGAGCTTGTTTTGCATATTTGGCGCCAACGTGTTGTGGGTGTGGTGTCTGTCCTGGGGCTTGTTCTCACAGAAAGCGTGGACCTGAAATCGAATAATGACATCACATGTTTCATGGGTTTTCTGATCTCCCATCTCAATAGCAGATATCTCGAAACAGCATGTGTTTTATTTTTTAAGTGTTTATTAACCTATTTCTTTCATTATCATTGAGTTTGTAATAAAAATTAACTCTTCGCATCCACACAAGGTGCATATTTTATACCGCAAGGTAATGTTACAAAATTTCTTTCAAAACCAGTATCTAATCTATCGAGCAAGTTTAGTTTATCAAACATGTAGTGACCTAATAATCGGCATCCCATGCAAGCATAACGTTAAGTTGCCATACCTGATGGGGTACCCGTGGTGTAGTAAGATCTCTTATTAATGTATATTTAAACAGTTCTTTACGATCACAACAAAAGATAGTCTGCGCGGAGGAGGTACACAACATCGATAGAACCAGATACACAGCTATGTCGCGTATCAACTTCGAGGTTCCATATTTACAGTGTTTCCAGTGTCAGTTTGGGGTAAATCGATCGATAAAATCATCATCCTAGATTCGTCCTACTTATCCGAGTGTTTTACGTATGTATCACGAACTATTTCTGCCCCCGTACATTCCAGGCCTCAGACTATTGTCATGTTTGTAACACCCCTGCAACGCGGTTTTGTTGTTTTGACACCAAAGGGAGAAAGTTTAAAAAACAGGCGAAAAATAATAAGTTGGAGTTCATTCTTGCATAAATATTATTGTTTGCCTTAAAACAGGAAATCCAGCCCCTAATCTCTTAATCCGGGTATTTTGTCGAGAAGATCTGTTGCGTTGTCAAAGCATTTAAAAACAATTTAGGACAAACATGGGAAAACAAAAAATTAAAACGACATATGTTTGGTGTGTATAAGCCTTTCCTTAATTGGTTTCTCAACTTGGAGACCACTCCATCAAGTTTGTTAAAATATTTTACATTATTCAAAATGTTTTTAATTAAGAATATTCAAATTTGATGTTAAATTCAATTTAGCTTTATTTTATTGTTATATTCTTCACGCACTAGTATTAGATGAATATAGTGCCTAGGGCGGAGATATTTTGTCATTTTACTACATAGAGTGAAATTTAATATTATTATTGTATTTTGGGCATAAAAAACTTAAATAAGAATAAGGTTTCCATTAAAATCGGCTGTAACTTACGCTGTCGATGAATTGGTAGAACATTATGGAGGCTTTGGCTCTGTTTCTTTTCAGTTCAGGAAAGAAACGACAGTCTTTCTCCGGGAGGCCAGTGTTCCTGTCGAGCTGACAGCGGCCGAAGGAGGTCTTGGTCAAGTAGCGCCCCATGACGGCCGTAGTACAGCCAGTGACGCGCGGACGCCGTCCATGAAGGTAAAACAGTGGGTAGTTCTCGTCCTCTTCCATACCATACTCGTCGAAGACGCCGTAACGAAGATGGGCGAACTCGTGGACCAAGATGCGACCTGAGGAGAGAAGAAGAAAAAGAAGAAGAAAAATCCTACTTTGCTGAAGCTAAAAATCGTCTGTAAACTTACGACAGGATTGGATTATATAAAAAAAATGATACTTGTACATATACAGGTGTTTTTCTCAACATACTTTTTACTTTTTGTGATTAGATCACTAAAGATGTCTTAATTAAAATTTAAAAGACTAAATGAGCGGCGTTCAATTTATTATCACAGATAAAAAGATGTTCTTCCACACAAAGACACCAGAGAGACAGAATCCCGGTGAAATGAAAAAATGTCTACAGTGCCATAACTGAAAACTGAAAGTTTGAATTATCCCTACTATACAGTGTATGGGCGAGTAGGCCTATATCTGAAAATGTGTTTCAAATGATCAAGAAATTATTCACTCATTACTGGCATTGCTATGCAAATGAAAAGACCATAATTAATGGAAACGTACTTTAGTCAAATAACTTTCAAATACCAAATGTAATGAACACGTTGGCTCAGCCTCAATAGACCATAGACTGAAAGAGAGTGCCTGGTGCTTTTAGCGCGTAATTAATTCCATTACTGATATTCAGATTCAACATAGAAAAAGGACAGAAAGGACACTATAATCCCCACTTAGTTGATTAAGAGAAGTATTTAAATGAAATCTTATCGTGAGTGTCGAGAGCGAGATATTTACGGGGTATCCATGTAATTTAAGGGCCTAACTTTTCTGACATTGGATCGGAATATAATATGGGCGATAAATCCCTTTTATTGGCCACAGCTTTTAGCCCATACTTCGTGGAACCTCGTTTTAGAAAGAAAAAATAGCCAGGATTACGGTTAGATGAAAAAACATAAACCAGCAGTTGAAATTGTGAAAGTAATGCACAAAATTAATGTAACACTCGACATCTACTGCTAAATGCCCCTTAATCGGGCGCATTAAAGGACTCAAACCGTTTCAAAAGAGAGATTTTAATCCATGGGAATCACAAAAGAAATGCCATCATATCCGAGCTACGGCCGCATGGCCACCGGTATACAGCGTGGTCATTGCGATCACATGGACGCAAAATTAACCAATTTATCAGCTGAGAGCTCTCTGGTAAAACTCTCACTTAATGTTAAGATCAGGAGCTTGTGTGTTTTAATTGAGTGTGGCTCGCGTCTTACAGTTTTCAATCACCGAGATGCCAAAAATTTTGGATTTACGTCTGATTATACGGTTATAAGTCTTACTGTAAGAAGGTGTGATTCTACTTTGTGCAAGTGAGAATGAAAAAAATAGAAAAACTCTAAATACATGCAAAAATTTTATCTTCATTTTCTTTTCTAAAACAGTGACTAGATAGAGCCACCGAATCATTGACTATTTATTGTAAAACCAGTTCAAGCTGCATTTCAGTAAATCAATTTTGGGTAATATTATTTCTGCTTTATATTTTCTCCTTTCGGTTTTGGTACATTACCAGCACCAATTTATCTCCAGAGTGATAAAAAAAAAAGATCGGGCATCTGTAATTATAATGATCGGTAATTTACTTCCCCCCCCCCCCCCCCCCAACAGTCATTGAAAACTTAACCTCTGCTATTTGCATATAATACCTCTGCAAGTCCAGAAGCATTCTGATGACAAAAGTGAGTTCCTAGTAAACTCTGATCCCTATGGTGACATTTACCTGCCTCTCCCCATTTGTATTCTCTGTTCACCTCGGGGTCATCTCGGACGTACCCCGGGGTGAAGTGGACGTACTCCCCAGGGTCCCCACACTGCCCAGGCTGTTTAGTGTAAGGGAGGTCGCCATAGAGAGGGTTTTCTGGGGCCACGCGTATGTCAGATATCTCGTAGTTCTCTCTCAGTGCGGTTTCGTACTCTGGCTTGTCTTGCCACGTGTCCGGGATGAGGATGGTGACGTTACGGAAGAAGGCCCTCTTGCGGCTGGCTTGGTAAAAGTAAGTGGAACCGTCTTGAAACATTTTCTGGAAGATATGGAAGGAACCGTTTGTGTACAGTTGTAGTGATAAGTGATCAAACAAGTTTCATGAGCTATTTGCTTAATAAATTTCCCATTTATATGACATCATTCAATTTCTTGTTGCTTTCTTTTAGCTTTGATTAAAAACCTCAAAGAAAAATTTGATACACATTAAATGGCAGTCAAGTGAGGTACTGTACCATAACGTGCATTTCATTCTTCGTGTACTAGTATGATATAAGATTTATTTGGATTGTGTTTTTTGTCTGTTTCTCAGTTATATGATTCCTGATCGCCTAATTTGCTGCTGAATTTTGGTTTTTGGTGTAGAAGCGTTTGTATTGACACTTTAGTCGGATCCATAAGCCTTCGGGTGTCTTTCCTGAGGGCATAAGATAAGAATACTGCTATAACCGCGCAGTCTATATCTGGAAGAATCCAACATTACTAGATTGCTGAAATATTTAGTGCTTTTCGTTCTCCGTGGTCAAATTTACTTATCACTAAATTGGTCATTACTTTGGCCATTATATGATCGGTATTACTTTTCGCGTTCCCATCTAACTTGCTCGCCAAGTTCTTGATTATAAATTAATATATAACATCCATTTTCTTTAAAAGTTTTTTTACCAGACTCGTCTAGACTTTGGATTAAAAAGCATATATTTCCATATCAAGACAGGTTCTTTTTTAATCGCTCCTTTTTATTTTCACTGAATCTATCCATTTTTGGATCAAGTGTTACATTCATTGTATCAATAGTAAAGGTTAATTCGAGCCTTTTTATTACAACAACTACGTAAGAAAGATTACATTAAATTCTATTTTTTAACGAAGACGCATGCTGTTTCCACGTTACAGCGGTTTGTCACCTTGTTGGTCGGATCTTCTTGACGAAGATCATCATGGAGACCAAGACATCTCCCCTTCGATAGAATCATATCACTGCCATCGCGACGTTTAGAAAATCCGGATTGTCTTAAGCAAACAAATTTCTTAATCCCGTCCTTCTACCTGATTCATGCAGTGTGAACACTTGTTAATTCGAATGGACATGAACCTACAGCTTGTCTGTCTCTTTTTTGTGTGTGTCTTTATAAATACCTTATCCTTAATGTCATGGTGCTTGTAAAGTTTAAAATAAAAATAATTTTGCAAATAGATTATATTCTCAAAAGATATTCAATTCAATTCTTTTTTCAACTTTTCAGCTTTTGTTGATCCACCTTTCTAAATCATACATCCACTCCCTCCCGTACATTTCAACTCATTTCTGCTCTTTCCTATCTTATCACTATGCCCCCGCTTGTGACCATGTCCTATATTGTATATAATAAAAACCTCTAAAAGATATCAGTTGTCTTAAAAAGAGTATTCCTTCCTGAATGAGACGTGGTTTTAAATGCGTAGCTGAAACGGATCTCAACCATCATTAACGTAATTAAGGCAGTGAAATGTGAAAGACATTCTAGAAAAAGCTGGTGTACCTTTTCAGATCTTAAGTTTAAAGCCATGGCCCTTCACATATTTTAAGCGTGCGTCTCAGACGCTAATCCCCCAACTAGGGGAAAGATCACTCGGTTAAGATAAAACAAAATATGAATGATGCTCTCTGGAGTTTTTTTCTGTACTACATTTTTTTATATTGGACTAGCTTTTGTATCTCATCTTCTTTTAAATATGTATGTTTATATGCATAACATTCTTATGAAAGAGAAAAATTTATATAAACACACTTTTACTAGTTACTTGTGGGCTACATGTCTATTTCAGCAACTGTTCCATTTCATTATTCCTAAATTTCGTCACATAAGAGCAAATTTCCCCTCCATTTTAGTATCCACGAATATAAAAAAAACTATATTTTGAAAGGGTAGTCCCTGAACAGAAAATAATCTTTTGATCTTTAGGTTTTTCTACGGCAAACGCAACCTTTTATTTACATATGCTATATGAGACCCGTGACCACTAGTTATACCTGTATTTCATCGACGATCTTCGACTCTTCTTTCACATCCTTATGTATGGCCACCAGGATGTTGTCATAGCCGTTGTCCTTGATGGTCATCAGTGAGTGAGGACCTGCCTCACACCTTAACACCACCAACACCAGAACACTCGCCAATACACTGGACAATTGCATTCTGAAAATAGAAAAATTAAAAAATTAAAATTAAAAAAAAAAACTCTAAAAAATTAAAACGAAAGAATAATAGTGTGAATGTGTGTGTGTGTGAGAGAGAGAGAGAGAGAGAGAGAGAGGTGGGTTTCGGATCACCATGTTTTAATCTATCTGAAAGATAGCGAGCGTATAAATATTTGATATCATGTAAACCGATTTGCCACAGGCTTATTTTCGTCGTTTTATTCCTTTAGGGATTGGAAGAGCTGGAGATGACACTGCATTTGTAAAAATTATGAGAATGTGTCGAAGGAATTTGTCATCATTACATCCCCTTCCCTCATTCGTTTTTTTCTTTCGATAGCAGTTTTTTTTCTTCTTAAAATATCACAAGATATTTTTACATATTTAGGCGTCTTTAACTGAAGAAACGGTTCGTATTCCCAGTATGAACTGAACAAAAGGTGTTAAGCAAAATAACCGAGACAAAAAGACAATTAAGACAAAAAAAAATGTTTACCGTAAATGAAACAGTCCCGCTAGATACAGACTGTGTGAATCATTGACAAAAAGTGATACATCCTTTTAAATAACTCCCGGGATGTCCAAGTAAGAAATAAGAAGACTATACAATATTGCTGTTATAAACATCTTGCTGCGAGTTACGACGACAATCTTTCAGCAAAATCTCATTTAAAAACAAACAAAAAACATACATGAGATAATGAGAAAAATGGCTTGACATTACAATAAACTTCAAACACTTTATACTCAAAATAAAAATATTTGACGCAGCATTACCTTGAAGTCTTTCGGTACTTCTATACTGCCTTGTCAGTGTAGCTTCAAGCTGTCCTTCGCGTAAAAAGCCGACTTAAAAACGAACTGTGACTTTAAGCGTGTCGGTAGCGTTTATCACGAGCGCGCTTAATCCCTGCGGATAAAGTACCACTGCAAACTTGAACAATTTATCACTTTGTGTAAATATTTGACATAACCTCCGAGTTGTAAAGGTAACAATTAGTAACAATTATTCCTGTAATTAGCGACAGCCGGTATCTAAGGTTTGATAGAGTTGGTAAATACCCAACAACCAGCTGGAGATCGTGAAATAAAAATCCTGCTGAAGTTGTGCGGGTTATCTGTATCAATGAAAAAAGTGAAGCTTCGCTGAATATCCACGTCTGTTAGCAACTCACAAAACTGGAGTTTTAACGTCAGGGATTCGTGTATAAGTATTTGGTACATGCGCATTTCTATAAATCCACTATCTGATCTACGTTCCGTTAGCACTTCACATAACTTCAAGGACGTAGGTATCTATGTAACAACGTATTGCTTAAGCATTGCGACTTTGACCGGTGATCTGGTATGCCATGTCTTAATTCTCACCAATTTCTAACAAAACCGATGTTTGAAGTACTTCTTTCCAAATTAATATACGCCCAAATGCCAGAAAATTAAGAATTGTAAGTTTGGTTTAAGTTCCGTCAAAATTGTGAAAAATTGAATAACTCGTTTTAAAAAGAAAATATTTGGAATAATAAAAATGCATGCGTCAATGTCAAAGCATTGTCCAGATACTAAATAAATGATAAAGCCTTTTTACTTTTACTTTTTTTGGAATCCATTATCTTTATTAACTTCGTGGTGTTACTTGACTATAGAACGACATTTATTTTAGATAGCAATTTATTGAAATCCTTCATAATGATGTACATGTTACTGACAGCCTACATATCTTTTTCTAAGCAAATACTGGTCCAGTAAGTCATACCTTTGTGAAGATGTAACTCAAATGAGGATTCACATACGCCCACTACCTTAAGGGTGATGCTTTATCCTTATGAGTGTGTAAAAGTCTGTTTAAAACTACCCTCTTAAAGAAATTATCAGTTGAGAAAGTACAGTTGTGTTTATTTCAAATGAAAATCGTTTCAGACGTATACCGATCCGGTCATAGGTAAATTCTACTCAATACTTGACTGAATTGGCTGACGTCAAAAGTTAAAATGAACAGTTTTAACATTAAATTTCATTGGTACAGTGTGTTGGCATGCGAAAATGTGTGGTCACGGGTCTATATTTTTCCGTAAAAGATTATTTTGCCGAGCTACAGATGTCGAAGACCTCCTTGTATTGGTGCATGTTTTACTCTTATGAAAACTAACAAATTTTAATTAAAATTAAATTTTAAAAGCACACGTACCGTCAATTTCACTTGTGCGATTAAATCAACATTTGATAGACTTTTACTTTTTTGTAACAAAGGCAGGATAAAGCATGACATCTACATAAATATTTTAATTTCAATATCTATTTTTCAATTTTACAGACTAAAGTTTAACATAAAAAACAAAGCCTTACAAAAATAAGTTTTTGTTTTCTGATTAATGGAAACTATACTGCTAAAGAAGAGCACACTGCTACAGAATTGATCGTTTTCTTCATTGGCCTATATTCGCGGCATCTAGGAATTCTTTTACCTCCTGAAGTTGAGAGTTCGCGTTACACAATTTAGATCTTTATATTATGTTTATCATAAACAACATTTATTATAGGTTCAGTGGTCTTTTTAGGATCTTAACCACATTTTGGTATTTTTAATTTAAATCAATCCACAAAAAAATAAAAAAGGAAAATAAATCCAAGATATCAGTCTAAATTCTAGGAGAAGCAGCAACTTTTCCTGCACTAGCCGCATGCTTCAATTTGTACGCCAAGAAGGCCACGATCCCAACAATGAGAACCGTTCCTGCGACACAACCTCCTACTATGGCTGCAATTTGGCTCCCATTCAGACCGAGGTCTTCTAACTCAAATGCAGCAGACGACACAACATTGGAAGGCTCGCCATAGTGCCCAGCTGCGTCGATGGCGCGAACTGCGAAGGTCAAGAGCGTGTCATTTAATCCGTTGACCTTGACCTTGGCTTGGATCCGGTTGCCGGCGCCTAATGGTGTGATTACTTCTAGCAGTGTTGCCTTCGAGCTACTATCAAATCCAGCAGACACTTCGTCAAATGACTGGCCAACCCGAATATCGTAGCCTGTCACTGAAACAATATAAAACATACAATAAGATTGATTGTTTATTTTTACCTATTGACAAAAAGGTGAAACTCCCAAGACAGAATCACGTCGAGTTCATTGATAATTATTATTTTAGTACGAATCGAAAGACTCACCAAACCGGGGCATAAGCAAGCTCAGCACCTGTTCTGTATTTCATGGACACATTTGGGACAAAGAAAGCCGAGGTATGTACTCGGTTTACGTATCGTTTTAAGTGTACCGTGTGTTTGAAAGAGGCAGTCGGGTTAATCATGAAATCAGCGTACCAGTACTTGCATCTTGGGAGTTCAACTCCCTTGATTAAAATATCAAGCACATGCACTTGAATTGTGATTAGAGAACAAACTGTACCTCGCATGTACCTAAGATGGTATATTAGATCTTAGCATGTACTGATGAAGCTAGATAATTTCGACCAGATATCACAGAAAAAATCAGACCTTCACATTACCTTTGCCGTAGTCAAGGTCCTCCCCTGGTTCTGTCCACTCTAGAGTGACCACTTTGGCGTCTTGGTCATAAGAGATCACCAGCAGGTCGATGATGCGGCTTGGAGGATATGGGTCTTGACCAGAGGTGTAATTGGTCACAACGAATGAACCGGCGTTCGTTGCTCTGTTCATCTTTGGTGCTGGAACCTTCCTTACTGGTTCCATCGCTCCTAAAATAGGAATTTAAAAAAATATATATAAACATTCAATAAATAAGGGACATCACGACGTAAATTTCACCATAATCTTTTTACAGGTGTTGATTTAGTTTAAAACATGTTTATTTTTAGTTTATGTTAGATTAACTCTGGAAAAGCATGTTACATGTCACAACCCCAAATTAAAAGACATCAAAGAGGGTGAATTCGATAGTTTCATATTCTTATGTTTAGTTAAAAGAACAAAAGTTTAACTTAATATGTGGTTCGTAATTTAAAATAGCATCACGCCATTGGCCATAACACAGTTTAACATTTATTTTATCAACATGATCAAATTTTGCTCTGACTTGCCTGAAACTTTGGTCAGTTATATAACCAGGTATAGTCAAATACAGTGAAATACGAAGTAAAAAAATAATACAATGAAAAACTAGACAAGCACTCAGAGAGCGCAGACCTCCGCCAAGGCAGCAAAGTCTCCCTCCAATGCCGTTTCAACCCTAAATTTTCGATATTTTTGATTACTGATTATTGATTGATTATTGATCCAGATCACCACCAAAAACTAATAATCTATTCCTTGGTCCACTTCTGACAGTTCCTGAAATTTTAATCAAAATCGGTCCATAACTTAGTTTTTTTATTATTGATTATTGATTATTGATTTATAATTAATCCGGATCACCACCAAAAACTAATCATCTCTTCCTTGGCCCATTTCTGACAGTTCCTGAAAATTTCATCCAAATCGGTCCATAACTTTTTGAGTTATGTTGATGACAGACAGACAGAAAGACAGACAGACAGACAAACAGGGGTGAAAACAACCTCCTTGGCGAAGGTAATAAACCCAGTAATGTTTTTAAACACAATATACATTGTAGCAAGAAGGCATCAGATACAATCCCTTGGTTTTAGTACCTGGTGTTGCGAAGGCTACTCCGCTCCCGCCTCCTATCTTGAACATGGCCATTCCCGGCTTTGTCTCGGCTCTGACATCGACGGAATACCGGTCATTTGAGTTCATTGTCGTGAAGTAGGCCGAGTAGACGCCGTCGTCTGCTTCATTGTCGGAGCCTAGTAAAACAACGGAACACTGGTGTCAGTTAATCCATGAGGCATAAAAATTTGAGCAGTTTTCTAGTAAAATTTTAATGATCAAAACTGGATGAAACAGAGAACAAATGTGTTACACACTGACGGGCTGTTGTAACCTGCCATCCAAATAATGTTCGCTTGTGGGATGTGAAATATAGGCCTTGAGACACAGAGTAACACAGAGTGGTTGTTTTTTTTTTATGACTCGTGGGTATCTAGGGCGTGGGGTACAAGATTATTGGTATCTACAGTGTACCATACAAGAGAGTTTGTTCCACTCTATTGTATTCAGGGTGTACGATGCACCTACCTGCTCCGTTATCCCGCAGCTGCAGGGTGACTCTGTCCTGACTGAGAGGTCGTTCAACATATGCAGTGACATTCGCATACAGCACAGGTGTATACCCCCGGGTCACCTCGGCATAGATCACCGTCTTAAGTGGGTACACGGCGTTAAGCCTGTTGACCCATGCCCGAACCCTGACTGGCTCCTTGTATCCCTGGGGGTGTGATCGCACGCTCACGGTGACCACTTGCTTGACTAGGGCGGGGGCAGTGTGTTCGATATTGTATGTCCAGTCACCGACCTACAAAGGGATTTTGATAGCTTTAATTTTAGTTTTGATATTTTCTAAGAGGCAGCTCTAGGGGGAACTTTGTTATCTTTTAAAGGTAGTTAACAACGGTTTTGAAATAGGTGAAAGCACGGCCAAACCACCGACTTTAAATATCAAGTAGCTAGACAGTGTTGCAAAATGTTTTTACCGCATCAAACTACTCTCAGAGTAAGCAAAATTCAAAGCCATATGTGCTCTGATTTAAAATACAAAAGTGTGTTTCGTCTCACAATGCATCGCAAACTATACTACCCGATCTCCGAACATGTATCAGTGAAACAAAATTACAATTGGGTATTATTTCGTTTATATAACCATGCTTACCTCGGCTGTGTTAAAAGCAAACTGTATAGTCTTCGTTGAGTTGTATTCCTGATATTCGGGCGAGTTCAGGTCGAACCGTTTAGCACTGGGGCTGGTTAGGCTGACAGCGATAGAACCCAGTTTAGGAAACATGAAGATGAATTTCGTGTCCACGCCTACTGTCTCGTCCACGGCCACCACGCCCTCGTAGGTGCTGCCCTCTTTCGGCAGAACCACGGACTGACGAACCAGCTGTAGCAAACAATTAAAATATACATGTCTCTGCTGGATTAAATCCATTTCTTTGAATTTATATGATTTTTCTTTCCAACACAATCAATCAACTTAACATAAGGATTCTTTTTTATTTTGTTTTCACTATTGATAAGGGTTCATCACCTCGAGAAAAAGTGGACTGGGTCTTGAGACTTCAGTTACTATAATACCTAACGGAATTTTCGTCAGTCAAGATGGAGAAACCACTGATTATACTTTTGTTATTTATTTAGCCCATGAGTCGAAGAAACAAGGTAGTTGTGGGAGTTTTAAAATTAGGCAATTTAAAAGTACAGTCACGCACCACGGCAGCATCTTTACTAGGATCACCCATGCCAGCAGTAGCAGCGTCCATAGCGGCGTCCAGTGCAGTTGAGAAGTCGCTCTCAGAGTAATAAAACGTTTTACCACCTGCAATGTCATTTATTGATTCTTGTAAATACCAGTTTACTATACATAAATCCGTTCAGTATCCGAACAGAGACATGGAAAGACTTCAGATAAGCCGTCAACATTAAAATTGCAGTTTAGTAAGTTTTACACAGCTGTTGTCTGTCAATATCTCTTGTCATTGCACCTTCCTTGTTATATGTGCATAATATTTCAAGGATCATATAATAATAATAATAATAATAATAATAATAATAAATAGATAGATAAGAAAAAAGCAAACAAATAAATAAAGGCATTAAAATGGCATTACCGGATTTTTTGGACGCCACATCCAGTCCATCGTCAACCTTCCCGTAGCCGATAGCAGTGACGACGATCCCAGTTCCCTCTATATCTGACTTCATGACGTCAGCCACGGAGGGGTTTTCCGTCTCATATCCGTCAGACATCAAGACAATGTGGGCGTTCTCCAAACTGCGCCCGCCTGCGCTCAGCATCTGGATAAATTCAGTGAAATACGACCAAAAAAGTTTGAAAAGACCGTAATTTTAAAGAATTATTAAATAACCATATAAGCTACTGAAGGTAAATATTTTAACCAAATATTGATGGATAATTAATCTACCTTTCGTTTCTGTTTATATACAATGAAAATTTTCCCACTAAATTACATAGTTTGTAATTATTGTAAAATAATTTCATGTTTGCGAACTTTTTTGGTCGAGTGTATAAACGTTCACCATTCCTGTTTATACTATAATGTAATGCTTTTGAATGTTAGTCTCGTCATGCGAGTTATTGTAATAAAATGATGCGAACACGCACGCGCGTGTGTGTGTGTGCGCGCGCCTGAGAGAGAGAGAGAGAGAGAGAGAGAGAGAGAGAGAGCAATCGTACCGTCTTCGCTTTCTGTAAACCTTGTCCTATTGCCGTAGAACCACCCACAAGGTTTGGCATATACTGTGCAAGCGACCCAATAAGCCTGTCTTTGTCGGCCTCGCTGCTCAGCTTACGGAGTCCTAAGAAGGGCAAATCCAAGGCCTGGTTGTTGAAAAGAATAACCCCGACCTCTATGCCGAGAGGTACAGATTCCCGGATAAATGAGGTGGCGGACTGGAGGACTTTAAACGCACGATCTTTCTGAAAAAGGGTAAATATGAAGTGAGAAAAATCTCAAAAAAAA